GGGGCCGCGCGCCCCGGCCGGGGTCGGAGGCCTGCGGCGCGGGGGCCCGGCGCGGTTGCCGGCTGCAGGCTCAGGCCGCGCTGCGCCGTCCGCCAGCAGGGCGGGGTCCGCGCGGACGGGCTGGCCGCGTCCCTCGGCGGGGAGGATGCCCAGTGCGCACCGGGCGGCGACTCTGGGCGTGAAGTTTTCCGAATTTTCATCCTGGAATTACAGGTCGCCTTTTAAGGCTTTCCCGGAGTACGGCCGAGATCAGATAAGCTACTTCAGCCAGATTTCCAACTCCGCTTTGCAGCGCTTGGTGGGCGCCTCTCTAGAACTCCGAGGGCCTGGATCGACTCCCGGTTTCCCCTTAAGTCATACTTGGAGCGGGAGGGCTTCTCCGGAGGCAGCCTTCCGAGCCACCTCTGTGGTCTGGCTGCTTCCTTTAGTAGGTGGAGTTTCAAGCTTATTTGGAAAATCCTCAGAAACTGTCAGCTCCTCATATCGTTGCAGGGTGGACGTATGTATATTCTTACTGTGCCTTGTCCTTGGCCACAGTTCTATCTGAGATAAGAGAATTCGAGTGTCTCTACCGCTTAGCAGGAAGAGAGCTCTCTGGAGATCAGCAAGCCTTAAAAGTTGAGCTCATTTGTTTCGCCCTCCCAGTACTTTCTGGAATTATGGTATAATTTGAATGACGGGGCGGGCTCAACCAGATGTAAATACTAAGTCAGGTTTCATCACCGTCGTGTGCGTGATTAAATGGCAGCGGTAACGTTGCAGAAGGCTCAGAAGGAGGGTGATACCACGGGCCCTCTCCTTTTCCTGAACTGTGTGGTTGCACTTGTTTTAGAGCCTGTCTGCTTGTGGAGTGGGGGATGCTGGTGTAGGCTGCTCACTGTCTCAGACAGAACTGCTGCTTCAGAGCGCTCTTTAGTAGTAACCAAAAACTGGAAGAATATCTTCTGCCCTTTGGTGGAGAACAGGCAGATAGCTTAGGAATGCGAGCTGGCCTCTCAGTGGCTTCTCCTGAAGCTAGTGTCTGGCTCCTTTCCATCTGTACATGTCGCTTGAAGTCATTTGCTCCATTTACAGATGTCGTCTGGGATGGTGGAGATTCATAGAGAGCTTGGCGCTTTCCCCACATTTTCCACATTCTGTGTTTTGGTTTAAGAAAAAATAACTTCGCAATTTAAAAAACGGGTAATTTCATTAGAAAGGAATGAGTCTAGGCGAAATGGGTAACTTTAAGTCTTGTTATAGACTTAAAAAGAAATGTGCCACGGATCAGTGGAGAGCTGTTAGGCCCAGGGATGCCTTAGTCTGGATAATTACTGTACTTTTTTTGGAAAAATTCAAGTGTATGCCTAGTGTACATTATTAGAAACCCATTCAGCAGTTTACTCAGAAGATGCCTAGAAACCAACAGAAAGAGATCTGTCTAGTGGTAAGAGTTAGCTTGCTTGCGTGTGGTGTGTACCGTGGTCCCAGCACCGGGGAGGTGGTGACAGGGTGACTTGGCTACATGAAGTCCTGTCTTGAACTTCTGTTCCTAAAGTACGCTTGAGAATGTATCCCAGACAATGTGATGTGCTGGCTGTTAATGTTCACAACCGATTAAAGCTTATTTCTCCAAACTACATCTTTATACTTTTTTTTTTTTTTTTTTCTTTCAGACAGCTTTGGCTGTCCTGGACTCACTCTGTAGACCAGGCTGGCACTGAACTCACAGAGATCTGCCCACCTCTGCCTCCCCAGTGCTGGGATTAAAGGCATGGGCCACCACCACCACCCAGCCATATTTATACTTTTAACATTTATTGTGTTGGAAATCAGCGACAAAGGAAATCCCTTTTCTTGAATTCTGTACATTTAAAAATTTCAGCTTGGGGGCTGGAGAGATGGCTCAGAGGTTAAGAGCACTGGCTGTTCTTCAACAGGTCCTGAGTTCAATTCCCAGCAACCACATGGTGGCTCACAACCATCTATAATGAGATCTGGCGCCCTCTGGCGTGCAGGTGTACATGCAGGCAGAATATTGTACAAATAAATAAATAAATAACTCTTTAAAAAAATAAAAATTTTAGCCTGTTTTTTTTTAAAGCTTCCTTCCATTCAGAAATATGCTGCCCATTAATATTTTAGACCCTGCGCCATAGTAATGAACATAATGAAATCTTTGCTGCCATGAATATTGTATTTTTAAATCTTTTTTTTTTAAACATGAGATGATTTTATTTTTGTAATCCTAGAAACAGAATGAAATGCTTAAAGGTCACATGGAAACTGGGGGATTTTTATTGTGCCCTAGTGTCTTCTCTTCCACCTTCATGTGTCAGCTGTAAGCATCTGTAAAGTTCCTTTTCAGCACATGAAAAGGTAACATAATTTGTCTTGTTGACTCCACACCTGGTTTGAGGCCCCATTTCTGCTCTTGATGGATTCCCTGGGGATTTTCCCATAGCTTCAGCTCTCTAACTAGCACCAGATACCCGAGTTCCAGTGGCCAGCATGGCCTCTGAATGAGTAGGGGGCCTTCTATTTTTTAAATGTTAGTTTTTTTAAGTAATAAACTTTTTAATATTTTTTTAAAATTAAAATGTAATTATGTCACTTCCCTTTCCTTTCTCCAGTTCCTTCCATGACCCGCCTCCTCCCAAACTCCTGGTCTCCTTGGAGGCCAGAAGTTATTTTTTTCTTCTATTCCTGTTGAGTTAGTTTCTATTACAGAAAGTTAGGGTAAACATATCTAGAGATTAAGAAAAACCTCCACTCCTGTGAAACGAAAAACTTTAGCTGGGAAGTGAGCATATTGAGAGCTAGAAGCGTGTGCCTCTGGGTCAGTGATGATCGCGGGGAGTACCTCAGTGGGCATCTAAGGAGACGTAGGCATGCCTGTGGCTCCGGCCGAGGCAGCTGCCCACACGCCCTTCTGCTCCGACTTCTGACGCCCGAGTTAGTGCCGCCAGGTGGTATGCACCTCCAGCTTTGTCTCTGTGCATTTTAACTTTGAAGGTCTGTGTAAAGGCATTGAGACACTTAGGTTTAAAACTGTGTTCTCCTAGAAGCATGGGCAAAAAAAAAAAAACAAAAACAAACAAAAAAAAAAAACGTTTTAGCAGTGTGGGTGGTTGGGAATAAATTGAATTGTTTGCGTCCATCCTAGAGTCCCAGAGCACTGTGCCAAGGGAGAAGGTTGCACAGATAATTAAAAATGGTCTTTCTCCCTGAGGCTCACGCAGTCCACTGGGGCAGACAGACATGCATGCAAATACAGTTTTCCAGAGTGGGAGATGCCGTACTGGCGGGGATGCGAAAGAAGAGATTCAGACCGAAGGAGTGGTTCAGGATGAGGAAAACTACATCAATAGCCATATGGGTGGGAAAAGCTCATGGCCCATAGAGAAAGCAAGCTGACTGGAAGCATTGGGTAAACTGAAGTTAAGGTCAACGTGGGCTTTCAATCTTTTTTATGTAATTTTATTTATTTGTTTGTTTGTTTGTTTTTGGGCTTTCAGTCTTTAATCTGATTCTTGTTCCTTTTAGCACATTAAGTTTACCGTGTAAATTGTTGTTGAAATGTTACACTTTTGTTTTATTCAGTGGTGTTTTGATGGCTGGGGCAGGTTTGTTGCTGCTTTCTGTTAAAGTGAGTGGTCCTAACTGTTCTAATTTTATTTTAGATCATAGCATTTGATGAGTTGAAGACTGATTACAAGAACCCTATAGACCAGTGTAACACCCTGAATCCTGTAAGTTATGACATAGCATTTATCTTTAGATTTTAAAAACTTATTTGCTTCTAACTTGATATAACTTGAAAATGGCCAGTGTTCCTGGTAGCATGATACGTCTGAATGTTTTGAAGTAGGCAGAATAAAAAGTACTTTTTCCTGTCATACTTGACTGTTCTGTTATTAATCTGCTGGTGATCTTGTCAGCTGTCATACTAACATTCTTCCAATCTGCTTTTTACATTGTCGGCCAAAGACAGTTGAAAAGGTCAAAAAGATTAAAAGAGTCAAAATTGCACTAAAGGTGTGTACTGCTTTTTAGTTGAATGTTTTAATGCCACATCATTTCGCGGGGAGGGCTAGGGCATTCGTATCTGTATTGTTCTGCTCAGTGTGCTTGTTCATGCGCCTGTTGAGGATTATGATTTCATGAAACTTCACATTCTATGCAAATGTTTGCTTGCTGGCCCAGTCAAGTAGGGAAAGCTGTTAAATGCTTATGCATTTTTTAATGTGATAGCCATAGGCACATCTACATTAAATTATTTAGCACAGTGTTTGAAAGTTGGCCAATATAAAATGACATTAATAGCGGAGACTTGGACGCGTGGGCTGTAGTGTGGCCTTAGCTGCCGTATCCAGTTTCACCTCTGGTTATGTGTGGAGTAAATGGGCTCACGCAGCTGCTCTTGAGAGAGGTTTGTTTCAGCTTTGTGTTGGATCCTGAAGTCTTGTTTGTGGGGATGCTTTGGGTCTCAAGATGCCACAGTTCTGTAGCAGCTTGTATCCAAGTGTCTGCATGGTTCTTCCCAGGATACGGTGTTTACCTCAGAGTTCTACAACAGGTCTGTCTTATGTTGGCCCGAGATAGATTTATTGATAATGTGGCTCTGTTGTGGTTTGGGGTTGATTCTAGATACATATTTGGCATCTGAAGGATTCTTCTCTAGTCTGTAGGTTTGACTTTGCCTGATTGGTCAGAAGCTAAGGAGTTACTTGTGATAAAGCAACAGGTAAGTAGTGGAAAGCATATACTCAAAGCTGCTGAGGACAATGAGGAATTCAGTGCAATCATAGTCTCAGGCTCTGACTTGGAAAAGCCCTCAAAAGCCAATTTGATACTTCATGCTGTTTCCCAGGTCAACGTGAGTGGTAAGTGGGCCTCCGCTTTGTGTGGAGAACCTTACAACAAGACTCCCCGGGAAGGAACAGTCACAAAGTTCAGTTTCTGGAATCCCTGTTTAGGAGGTTAGACATGAGAAGATGCTTTGTGGTTGGAAAGAACCAGGTGTGTGTTGTAGAGCATCTTTGCTTCAGCTGTTAAAACCAGTTGTCAAGAAGTCAGGAAGCTGGGATCTTTTGGTTTGTTAGTAGTATTTTGTGTTCTTTGGCGGTTTGTTTTTGATATTTAAATGCTGAGAGTATAGCTAGAATCAAATGAGCACGTCCCTGGGTGCCAGGCTCTGCACAGGAGCATTTGCCCTGGAGCTTTCGTTCAGGTAGGAGAGTAGTTCTTCTCATGAGTAGGACAGTTAGTTGCTTTAAGAAGTCCAGGTACTCCGACCAAGGCTAATGTCAGAGAGGTGAAGGCAGAGACCACAGTTATAAGCTAGACAGCCTAACTTTGGATGTTCAAACTGTGTTTTCCTAACTTAATTATCTTTAAGAGGGACAAATGTCATATAGAGCATATAGTGTGTGATTTCTGTCTTTTCTCAATGGAAAGAAATTCATACTGAGAAAAGGTGTGTGCTTGAGACACCTGCAGCTCCTGGAGGAGAGGCCATTGTTCTAGGCTTGTGAGCTGTAATTTGGGATAGGGTGCCGATAATTGGCTGAACAGCAGTGCATCTGACAGTTTTCCCTATTTCAGTTTGTTTTTACAAGTTCTGCCAAAGTATGGGGGAAGACAAGTATGATTTTTAAAAATGTAAACTTAATAAGAGAATACATACAGTTTTTCATGTTTCAGAATTAATCATTTCAACCATGTTTGCATGAGGTAATTTTTAGGGATACTAGGTTTTATGTGATTTTCTGGTTGTAAATAGAATGAGTTGTGTGGTCATAGACTGTAAAGTTCTGATTTTTAATGAGGCTGCACACCTCAATCTAAGCACTTCAGAGGTAGAGGCGGGAGAATCTCTGTGAGTTCAAGGACAGTCTGGTCTACAGAGCAAAGTTCCAGGACGGTGCTGGGTAGTGGTGGCGTGTTCTTTGATATCAGCACTTGGGAGGCAGAGGCAGGTGGGTCTCTGAGTTCTTTAGCCTACAGAGCAAGTTCCAGGACAGCCAAGGCAACATGGGGGGAAGGAAGAAAGAAGAAAAGCGCTCTCATTTTCGTGAGAAGTGCATAGGGAATGTCTCTGGGCATTTCTGAGGAGCAGCAGTGCAGTTTGACTCCTACTGGAGGGACAGAAGCCACAGGGCCTGTTGGTAGTGCTCTGAGGACAAGTTGAAGAGTGATGGGCTGTGTGAGTCTCCAGTCCGTCCACTCACCTCAGTCTAAGTGCAGTCGCAAAGCAATTACTTCTGTTAGGTGTCAGGCCTTCTGGCTAAGTAGGCGTGTCAGCGTGTAGAGCAGCGTCCTGGGCCCGTCTTTTAACCTGGAGTTGTGAAAGGAGCTCCAGGGGAGTTCGCACTGCATGTTTTCCCTTGTAGTTACTAGGCTTCTAAGATGTCCTTTGCACATTTTCTTGTTAATAGAAATTTGGCCTTAAGTAGAATCATTTATGTCTGTGTCATCCATCTATCTATCTATCTATCTATCTATCTATCTATCTATCTATCTATCTATCTATGTGCATGTGGAGCTTATCTTAGTTATGTATAATGTTGCTTAAATTTGTAAAAAAAATAACTGGTTAGAGACTTAGTTGGCTCTACTAGGATTTTGTTTAAAACCGTGTTCTTTACAGAGTTTATGCCGGGCTGGGGGTCCGGCCCAGTGGGTGAATGCTTGGCTAGAGTGTGTGGGTCTGATGTCCAGAGCTGGTCAGAGTTAGTTGGCCGTATGGCTTTCAGCTGGAAAAGTAGTTCGGGAGCATTAGAAGATGGGCTCAGGCATGCAGGGTGATTTGATTTCTTCTGCAGCCATGGCTTACTCTCAGGGAGGACCCGATTCACACAGTTTTGACCTGATGTGAAGCCAGTTGGTAAATTGGGCTTTGCAGCTATTACTTAGGGGTTTTGGCTAGAATTGGCTTCAGATAGTTTTGATATTTTATTTAACAACTCATCAGATTAGAATGAACCATTTAGGATTAAAAAATGATTTAAAACAAATCATCAAGTCTTCATTATTTTATAAAAGCATGTATGTCATTTGAATTAATTTTTCTTTACTACAGAGGGCTTATTTTCTTTTTGAGTTTTGAGGTTCTACTGGTCTTCTACCATGTAGTGTTTGTGGATAGGCAGGCATAGAGGAACCCAAAGGCTATGTTATAATGGGAACTCCGAAACTTGGCAGTTTCTTTCATGGTTCAGAATTGCGTCTTTTCCCTCCTACATTGCAGAAAGTGTGTCTCTTGCATTGTGTGCCTCAGTGTTCCTCCCATGTGCTGACACGTTGGCTGGTTGGCTTTCCATCGAACACCTTGTGGGAAAGTGATGTGACTTTGTACATGTAGCATTCTTAGTTTTGTTAAAGGCTTAAAAACACTCATCAACTTGTAAGTGGGAGTTTGTTTTATGGATTTTATTATCTTGTTGCATGTGCTCAGGTTATTCCATTTTGTGTTATTGCTGAATGATGGAAATAAAAGCATTCTACTTGATTTATAAGTAATTGAATAATCTGGGTGGTAATTTCAGTTTACCTTCTGCTCTAAGAATTTGAGTTTTAAGTTTCTCATCTTACTATTTTAATGAAAGCGTCTTATCTGCTGACCAGTTTGCTTATAATCACGCTTTTGGTAAAAAGCCAAATATGGAGATAACACTTAGTAGCATCTTTGATTTTCTATTCTAAGAAAGGTGATTTTTTTAAAATGGAAACTTGGTTGCCACTTGCTTTCCAGATGAGCAGCTGTCAAGCCAGGCAGAGTGATAATGGCTTATGTTTTTCTTCCAGCTTGTACTGCCAGAGTACCTCATCCATGCTTTCTTCTGTGTCATGTTTCTTTGTGCAGCAGAGTGGCTTACACTGGGTCTCAATATGCCCCTTTTGGCATACCATATTTGGAGGTAATATTTAAATACACTTAACTATTTCCCTAATTAGAGTGTAACTTTGCTGTGGTTGCCGCGGTTGTCCTGGGTGCTGTGTGTCTGCATGAGGTCTGACAGTTAGCCCTGACCCAGCACAGGTCAGTAGCAGGGAACCCTTAGCGCAGTGCTTGCTTCTCTCTTCCTCAGGGGCCCTTAGACACAGTAGCACACACATCTGTGTGTACAACTAAGTGAGTTTTCATGTATGTGTGAATTTACACAGATTAAGATGTAACATTCTAGCCCTCAGAACATTTTCTGAGCCCAGTATCAAGTCATTACCCCAGACATTTAGCCGCTGTCACCTTAGCTTAGTTTTGCCAATGTTAAGCTTCATCTAAGTCAAAATGTACAACATGTGTCTTTTAAATGTTTCCTTTATGATTTTTAAGGCAGCTAGCTATTTTGTAGATGAGAACCAGATTACATAGGTTTACATAGTTAAGGTCTGACCCAAATACAGTTATTTCTCCCTCCCCGTAAGTTGAAAGCTTTATTTTAAATGGGCGTGTCAGAGTCCCATCTCTCTCACTTTTAGGAAATACGTTAAGGACTGTTTTGGTGTGAAGTGCTATTATGTCTGTAACTGAGTGAACAATTTCAGAAACTGTACTTGTGATTAGAGGTAGAAAGAGAAGGGATACAAAGCAAGTGTGGACGATGTAACACTTGGAGAGGCTGGGCGAAGGCCCTGCTCCTTCTGGGAGTGTAAACTGTGTTTACATAAAGAGTTAAAACACCTGGGCCTGGGAGCGGGTTGAGCATTGAGAGCACCAGCTGCTCTCGTAGAAGACCTGGGTTCAGTTCCCAGCACCCACGTGGTGGCTCACGCTGCCTGGATCTCGGGTTTCAGGGATCTGGTGCCCTTTGCTGGCCTCTGGGCGCTGCATGCACGTTGCGCGTGCGCACTTGCAGACAGCGTACAAACACAAAGTAAAAGTTAATTTTAAGAAAAGAGAAAAAAGCAAACACCTGCTGTTCCTTTTACACCACCCCTGTTTTTATTGGGTCTCTGAAATCCAAGAGACAAGGTGTGATTGGTATAGCTGTTCGTTCTTATTTAGGGTCTTTAGTTTTAAGATTAAGACGGTAAAAGTAAGCCAAGGTGTGCCCAGTGTCTGGAGCGTAACTCCCTGTGGCAAATGCTGGCGAGGAAACCCCCTGAAGGTCATTACCCTTCCACATGCTAACAGCTGTGTCTGTTTCAGGTATATGAGCAGACCAGTGATGAGCGGCCCCGGACTCTATGACCCAACGACCATCATGAATGCAGACATTCTAGCCTACTGTCAGAAGGAAGGATGGTGCAAACTAGCTTTTTACCTTCTAGCCTTTTTTTACTACCTATACGGGTAAGTTTAAAATGTGAAGTGGAAATGTGATTAGGCTTTGTGCCTACCTGCACACAGACTTTATGGTCTCAACACCTTGTTTTAAATGGGGGGAAGTAATGGCAGGCTGCGCGCCCCCCCCCCCCCCCCAGCATATGTCTGCCCAGCAAGCAGCATGAAGCCAATGGCAGGAAGCTGATCAGGGTGCTGCTCCCTCCTTGCAGAAACACTGTTGGCAGAGAACAGTCCTCTTTCTCATGGTGCAGCGGTATTGAGAGGGCGGGTTGCAAAAGTTTGTAAACGTGTTGGCACGCCATATTTTGAGTTCATGATTAGAGACGCTGTAAATGGCCTTATCATCTTTCCAGAGAGTGTCCAGCTTCTCACCTTGTTGTTTTTATAAACTGTGTGTCCTGCCCTTGATTTTTTGGCGTGCCTGATCTGAACAAGATGACTGAGAGTATCCAGTGTCACGGGTGGTGCTCTCATTCTTCCTCGAAGGCTTTCTCAGCTCCTCTGCTCTAAGTGGTCCGGGGACCACTGTTTATTGCTGGACACTGTTTGATAGATTGTGGGTGTTTAGCAGCACCTCTGACCTTTACCCATAAAGATTCTAGTCGTGCTCCAACTCCTCCCAGTCAGGATAGATGTTTTTTGGTGTTGCCAAATACCCATATGGGGAAAAACTGCAGTAGTTGTGAGCCAGTGTTTTAGATATAGTAAATAAAAGCAGATGAGCAAGCAGAGTAGTTGCATGTCTGTAATACCAGCCCTAAGAGTTGGAGGCAAGAAAATTGTGCTTGAGGGCTTACATGAGAACAGCAGCTGAAAAGTACCTTCAAATGAGTGTGCATTAAAGCTAGAAAAAGCTTGCTCGGGGTCAAGTCAGGAAGTCCCAGGAGTGTGAAGATAGCCGGGCCAATTTTGTACTCCTGTCAGGCTTTGCTTCAGAGTGCCCTATGGCACACAGATCAAAACAGCGGGTTAGAGTGGTGCAGTGGGAGGTGCGGTAACATTCTCTTTCTGTGTAAGCGCCTGCAGAGGCTTTCCTGTTAATTTGCAATTAGTTTTAAACTAGTTATACTGGGGCTGGAGAGGGGCTCAGCAGCTCAGGGTCCTGACAACTGTTTCCAGAGGATCCACTTGATCTCCAGCCCCCAGGCTGAGGTTCCTTGCCATCTGTAACTCCAGGTCCAGGGGATTTGATGCCCTCTTCTGGCCTGTGCGGGTACTGTCCATGTAGTGCACAGACAAACATGCAGGCAAGACAACCACATAAAATAATAAGAAATATTAAAAGTTAGCTATTTTAAGGTGAAATAATTAAGCTTTTATTAATTTGCATTTATTGTCTGTTAAGCTTCTATTCACATTTGTACCATCCATCCTAGAAAAGGACAAAGGAAGTTTGTGTGGAGTTGTCTTCTGTGCACCTGGAGACGAAGCATAGTGAATAGTTGTGTTTTTGGTTGTGACCCTCACCTTTAAGGCCGCACCATCTCCAGCTGTGACTAGGTTCTGAATGGTGAAATTCCACCTGTTGTTCAATCTCTCCGATTTTCATGTTTCCAAATGTTTTAAGCTAACATCTGGAAGCTGCTCGAATGGAGTAGCAGTTAAAATTTACTGCAGAAAGAGAAAACCTGCATAAACAGTTGCATTGGAGATGCGTAGTTGTGGCAGAGGTTCACAAGAACATGTTAGTGTGAGGGTTTTGCTCCTTTAAAACTGTCCACATGTGCTCAACTCCTAGCTTTTTTGGAGATAAGAATGTGCATTTCACAACACCTCCCCGCCCCTGTGTGTCTCTTTCTTTTTTAAATGCTTTTATTTATTTTCTGAGAATTTCATATACTATGTTTTGGTCATGTTCCCCAGCCCCCACTGGCTCCTCCCAGTGCCTTTGTATATTGATGGGACTTGCCCTTGGTACTTTGTGAGCTAAGTTACATATTTACTGCCCCGCCCCGGGGGGGGGGGTGTATACCTTTTTGCTGTCCCCATTTCTGTTGCTTCGGGCTCTAATTGGAACATTCCTCCTTTGACCGTTCCTTTGCTTAAAATGGGACCCGAAACAGTACCAGCTGAGTGAGATCTGGCCAGTGAAGGACCTAACAGCCATGGTGCTGACCAGCTCTCCAGAAATGCTCCCTCCTGTGACCAGCTGGTGCTCCAGAGAGTGGTGTTTGCTTTCCTTCTCTGAACGCTGGGCCTCACTGAGTGTTCAGCTGGACTCTTCTGCTTGCTAAAGTTAGAAAGGAAATAGGGGGCCATAGGCAAAAGTCCACGCAGATTAAAGTCATATTCTCAATGGTCTTTTCTGTGGTGCTGTGATACGCTATATAGAGCTGTGAGCTGGCTATATAGAGCGGCTAGATGAGGGGTTTTGAATTAACAACTTCTCTCTTCGTTTCAGCATGATCTATGTTTTGGTGAGCTCTTAGAACAACACAGAAGAATTGGTCCAGTTAAGTGCATGCAAAACGCCACCAATGAAGGGATTCTATCCAGCAGGTCCTGTTTCCAAGAGTAGCCTATGGAATCTGATCAGTTCCTTTAAAAAAAATGACTTCTTATTTTTTAAATGTTTCCACATTTTTTGCTTGTGGAAAGACTGTTTTCATATGTTCTACTTGGATAAAGAATTTAAATGGAATTACGTATAAATTAATATAAAATGATTACCTCTGGTGTTGACAGGTTGAACTTGCACTCTTAAGGAACAGCCATAACCCTCCAAGTGAATGCATTCATTGCTTACTGCCCTCGGTCCATTGGAAGCTTTGTTTAGAGGACTTGTTGGGCTCATTTTGGTTTTATCGAAATGCCATCTAAATATAAATTAGCTGTAGATATGAGGTGCTTCTGGTGAATTGAAATGTATATCTGACTGATGGAAACATTGTAGGTTTCCTCACTTATCACTGTAGATGATTATATATGGACACAACAATAAGAAGAGTGGGATTTCTTTCTGTTGACTTGAATATTATCCCTATATATACTGCATGAGAGAGGGATTGCCCTCATTCCCATCAGAGTAATATACTTGCTTTAATTCTTAAGCATAAGTGATATAAACATGCTGAATTACCTGTAAAGAATGCATTTAAAGCTATTTTAAATGTGTTTTTATTTGTAAGACATTACTTACTAAGAAATTGGTTATATTACGCTTACTGTTCTAATCCAGTGGTCAAGATAGTCTTAAGAATTTGCAAGTACTTTAGATTTTCAAAAATGAACGAGAGAACTGTGTAACCGCCCTGCTGTTCCTTCAGTGCAACACAATAAAACTCTGAAATGAACTGGTGCCAACAGTTACTTCTCGCTCGCTCAGTCCACCATCAAAAGACCTGATAGTGTCATTTTTAGAAGCCATTGTATTGTGTATTTTCTTAAAAATAATACTTCTGGGTCTAAAGACTGGAGAATTTTGAAAGCCCAGGCCCATCACTGTTAACATCTGAGAATACTCTCACCCTCTGCTGGACAGCTCCATCCCCCTCTCACCGATTCCCAAGTTCCTGGGGTGTGTGGAGTCTTAATTGTTGTGGTTTGCTTTCTGTAGCAGTTGGCTTAAAGGTAAGCTTGAAGCCGATTTCTGAATTTGAGCGTTGGTGCTGCTTGTGAGGTAGGCATGTGTTTGCATGTTTTCATGAGTATTTGAATGAGGGTGAAGGAAATTGAACATACTGTGTTTAGAAGTTTCTTCAGCAGATGATAAAAGACAGGTCATTTGTAGAGAGTCCCTAATGATCAGGACAGTTTACTGTTCTGTTCTTTAGTGCAGTAACCCTTCCCAGCTTGGGGACAGACGCTGCCATCTGGAGATTAGATGATAGAGACAGATGTGGAAGGAGAGAATGAAGAGCAAGGAAATCCTACTGACTAACTTGTAGTCTGCAGAGCACGTGCTGGCCTCCTCTTTGTAAGCTGAGTGCTTGCTGGACACTGAAGACTTAGGCTTAGGGCACAGTCAGCCATTTTGTTTCTAATCCATTCCTCATTTTCCTTTCTTGTTCTCAAGGACTACTGACTGTGAGAGACCTGGCCAGGGTTCAAATGCCGGGAGATTTTCTGTTGGCTGTTCATAAATGTTCATCCTAACTGGAAGCTGGTAATAATGTTAGTCTGAAGTGAACTTCAGCTCTTTTATGCAAACCAATTATTTGCAACCATACCAGCAGTTGAAGGTGTCTGTTAGCAGTATAATTTAGGAGACAGTTTTGAACGAGCTTCCAAAGCAATGCCTAGGGAAAAAGAAAGCCGTTCTGCTGCTGGATTCATTGGCTGGCTTTTTCATAGCTATTTACTTTGACTAAATTTCAGATATCTCCAGCCAGCGTCTGAAAGGAGCACCGCCTGCTTGTTAGGTTTTCAGATATCCCCAGCCAGCGTCTGAAAGGAGCACCGCCTGCTTGTTATGTTTTCTTTGGAAAGTACTATTAACCTCAAGGCGGTGGGTTTGAGGTAGAGTGACGGTTTTGTTCTGAGTTCATTTTCTTGATGCACATTGTAGAAGACACAAACATCCTGACATGCAGAAGAATGGCTGTCTCCCAGATGTCAGTGTCACTGTACAGATTTGTTTGGTTATGCTTATGTATTCTGGAGAATGAGTTTCTTAAATGGATTGGTAACTGAGTGGATTCTGAAACTTAGAGAAACATGAAATCACAAAATATAGTTAGCTATGTACTGTGTTAAAACCCAAGCTTGTTGGTGCTATACCACTGTTCAAAGAAAACGCCCCACTCACCCCCCCCCCCCCCACATTCCTTAGAGCTTGCTCCTTTTGCTTTTGTATATTTTCTCTCAAATACTACCTGTGTAGTTGATGGGTGGTCGTTGAGTCCATGTAATCTTTGTGCTGATTTCAAATGCAGCTAGCATTGGTGTGCAAAAGACCAGTCCCTAGATCGTCTGCCTTCTCTGCCTGCATTGCTTTCAGATATATTGTTTGGGCAGAGAAGGTACTTTCCTTAGAATGTTGGTATCACATGATTTTAAACTTGAGTACACAGTGGATTTCAGAACTAATACTTGTCTTTCCCTGTTGCTGATAATTAAAAGCTTTCCTGTGTGCTGGGTGTTAGTCAAACATTTTGACTATAAATTTAACAGACACAATGGGAACTGAGAGATGCATACTTTTAAAATCCAGTTGATTTGAGTGTGAAATGTTCTACCTCCATTAACTACTCACGAATAAGCTTTCTATTGGAAGGGAGTGATTGTAGGATTTGCCAGTATCTGGGGCTGGGGAGGGTGGCCCTTACGGTAGAGTACTTGCCCTGCTAGTCTGGAACCTGTGTTTGGTCCTTGCTACCGACATAAGAGTTGATGTGTACTTGAATCCTACTGTTGGGAGGCAGAGACAGGGGCTCCCTGACAGCCTAGCCTGCTTGGCAAGCACTAGCCAATGAGAGACCCTGTCTCAGAAAGCAGTGTGGACAGGTCTTAAAGGAACCTCTGGTACCTACACATCTGTACACATGCCCTCACAGAGAGCTTTACTAATGCCGATTTCAGTGCCTGTCTAAAATTTAACAGGTGCTGTGATTTTAAAATTGGCTGTAATAGCAGAACTGTGAAGGCCAGTCTATAATTGTAACCTTTACCCAAAATACAAAATCCCTTAAACTTTTGAGATCGTCTTGAAACTTTTTAAAAGTCCCTGGATTAAACATTAGATAGTAGCAGGGTGTGATTTTTACAGCTTTCTCAGTATCCTCATAAGAATCGTAAATTCTAGAAGCTGGCTGGGCATGGTGGTGCACGCCTTTAATCCCGGCATCTGTGAGTTCAAGGCTACCCTGGTCTACACAGTAAGAGCCTGTCTCACAATAAAGTAAAAATACAAATCTGTTTGTTGTATACAGAAGCAGTAGAGTGTCACCTTGGTGCTCTGGGATGGAGTGGCCTCTAAAACTCAGAGTCCCTTAAGATTCTGCAAGTCAGGTGAAGTAGAGGAAAACAAAAAGAATTTAATGAGAGGGAGAGGGTAAGGGCTGTTGAAAAGTAGTAGGTAGGGTGTGCTTGAGAGAAAGCTCAGTGAAGCACTTGCCACCAAGCCTGGTGGCCTGAGTGTGACCCTGGAACCCAGGTAGTAGAACATCTTGAGGGACCTCTGGTTCCCACACACACCTGTTTTCCCCAACCTCCACGTGTGCTGTGTCACACTTGTTTCCCCGCAAGTACTCATGTGCACACAAAAACAGGGTTTCTCTGTGCAGCCCTCGCTGTCCTGGAGCTCGCTCTGTAGACCAAGGTGGCCTTGAACTCTAGAGATCCACTTGCCTCTGTCTCTCGAGTGCTGGGATCAAAGGTGTGTGCCAGCTGCTGCCTGGCCAAAACTTTCACTCTTATGATTGTGTTGCACGCTTATTAGTGATGGTCAGATGAGGCAGAGTGTTAAAGAAACTCAGTATTTTTCGTCGAAGATAGAGCAGTCAGTGCATTCCTGGAAGGACAACAGTGCTCCAGCTCTGCTGCCCTGTGCTGCGACTTAACAACGAATTCATGACGCAGCTTCGGGAGTATCTGCAGGTAACATTTATATTCAAGATGGCAGCACTAGTTGTTTCGGTACAGATTATGCTAGAGGACTTGGAAACTTCAGATGCGCTCGCGTATTTGGAATCTTCATTATCTGGACACAGATCTTGATAGCGGATCTCTTGATGATAGATACGCAGCTAATTTATCCCGGAACTCATGAAGATAGTTATATTGCTGAAAAAGGAGTAAAGAAACATTGAAATACACCGCAAGATCTAGGATCAGAGTCGTCCCCATATTTAGCTAAGAACAGATACTTCTGAGCCTGGTAAGTGGACTCAGGAAGGGGAGGAGGAGATGCTGTCAAACTAGGAGGTGGGAGGGGCAGGGTCAGAGGTGAGGTAGGGTAAGCAGGCTGCTCTTGGCTGCTGGGACTGAGATCCAGAGGAAGCCTTCAGTGCGGAAGGGCCTGCCTACCCCTGGTTCTCCCCTCCTGACTACAGAGGAGGGCGTCCTCTATAGTCAGTGATGGAGTCTAGAAGGTCTACCTGCTTGTAGACACCCTAGCTACTGGAGCATCTGATGACAGTCCACTTGGAATCATTTTAGTATTTAAAACCAAACATCACTAGATGGATAAGTGCTTTAAGCAATTTATTGCAGTTCATATATTTTTCCAAAGATAGCTCTGACAGCCATTATTCCTGATCATGAAACCCTGCAATGCTAGTTTTCCTTGGGAGAGGGAGAGAGGGCCCATTATCCACAAAATACCCAGGCGACAGATGAGGCAACATAATGTAATTCATACATATCTGACTGTTGATTTTGTTTGAAAGAGAGTGAAATGTCCAAAATTTAAAGCCTTTGATGTTACCAAGGTAAAGGGAGCTCTGGTTTCAGAACTCATGTGGAGAAGTGGATCCAGTAAGGTGTATTTTACGAGTGGCCATGTTCAAACCTCGAGAGGCAGGTTGCTTGGCCTGATGAGCTCTGAGCCCTGGGGAGGTGGACTCGACCACAAGCAGCCTAAGGGTGTGGATTCCTTAGTACAACTCAGATGACAACCTGAAGCTGAGACACCGAGTACCTGGCACCGGAGGGTAAATCAACTTTAGAGATGTACACAACCAGCGTTGCCAGTGGTCTTTGCTAACATACTCTGTCACACCTGGCTGTTAACTGCTGCCTTGTTCTTCAGGTGTTCAGGAGAATGGAAGGCACCCAGTGTCCATGGCAATGGACAATAAAATAAGCATTGCTGTGCTGTTCTGATGCCATTCATCACCATTTCAGCGGCACACAGTAGGATCTGTAAATTGCTTGGGATACAAGTCTACCCAAGAAAAAGGAATGATTATAGTAGTCATTTCCTGACTAGTGTGAGCGTCTGCATAGGAACCGACTGGGACAGAACCCTCGGAGAGTAAAGTGCAGAGTTGAACAACTTCATTATTTTGTTCCAAATTTGGTGGCTTGTGCAGATACCTGGGCTGTATTTACATGTAAGTGTGAAAAGTAAACCAGTCTGTGTATCTGCACCACAGCTTTGGGATTCAGCTCATGGCTCTCTGGCACCCACTACACAGTATTCAAAAGTCCGCCACCGTGGCAGACAGAACAGCCCAGCTCTTACCTTGATGGTCTGTATGGCCCCAGATCCCCTGATATCTCGAAGGCTGTCTATGGCTTGCTGTGGTGATATTGAGTCAGACAAGTACAGGAGGAGGCAAGCAGCTACTGAGAACATGACAGAAATAATGGACTATTAAAAAACTGCTTAGGTTTTGTTGCAGAGAGACTTGTGTTATGGCAGGTTACGTTCAGTGTGATTGCTGCACGTGGATGAGCTACTCAGGTCCTTTGGCCTGCACTCTTGAAAGTTAGCCTCATCTTAGAGTTTAACAGGCACATGCTAACTGCACAGCAGCTCCAAACACTGGCTCACACGGTTCTGTGTGAAGGTGTGCTGTTTCTCTTGTGTATGGGGCTGAGGAAAAGAGTGACTTTACACAGCAGCTGTTCTGTTTAACATCCTGTTTAACACCTCTGTTTTCGGGGTGCTCACTGCTTCCTTCCATCTTTGAACACCACAGCCATGCTGCCAGCTGATGCTGCTGGGCATCGCTTCCAGGCAGTGTGTTTTGGGGACATGTTTACACAGAGCCTCTGCTCACTGCTTGACCGCCACGCTTGCAGGAGTACTATGTGTGTTCTGGGTATATACTCTTTCAGATACATAGTATGCAATTTCTCTTCTCCCATTCTGTATATGGTCTTTTCGTTTTGACAGTGCCCCTTCTCTTACAAAGGTGGTTAGTTTGGATCTTGTTTATCCCATTTTACAATAAAAATAACTTACTACAGGCATTTCTTGAATTTTTTTTGGCAGCAGGTTAAAATTAATACACAGTAAGTATACTTTGTTGCAGTTTTGTCTTGTTTGTTTGGGGTTTGGTGTCTGAGCCAGGGTCTCGCTGTAGACCAGCTTGCCTTTGAGCTCCTGATCCTCCTGCTTCCTCTTTGCAGTGCTGTGGTTTTTATACTTCTGTCACTTGGATACTATTTAGCATTTTCAGACAGTATCATAACATCTCCATGGAAAAAACATTGGCAAGAGAAGTCACAGGTGCTAAGGCTTGTAAGTGACTCTCCTAAGCTATGCCAAAATCAGCCGACATGCCCACCCAGGCCTTTTAGGAAAAAGCAAATTTAAGGCTTTTCTAGGTCCCCGAATCTCGGTAAACTTACGTTGCGCATTCACTTCTTTAAATATAAAGTGCAGTAAGGTCCCCACACAGGAATTTGCCCACTTTGAGGTTAAACAGTTAATGGAAATATATTTCTTACCAAGACAAGATCTTCCAAGTCCTCCATAACAGCTGAAAAGGGAAAGAGAGTTTTGAAGTTTGTCTGCTTTCACTCTGTCTGATGTTGCAAGTCAAGATTTCCCCTCTGCCATTACCTCTTCACACAGCACAGCAGCCTGTACTCAGAGACCAGCACTGCTCAGTCCCCGGCAGGGGCCTCATTAGTGTAGGGAGGTGTTCTGAGTTCTCTAAGGGCCAAAAGAAGCCCCTCACTACGTTACTGTGGTCGTTACCAGTGATGGCCGAGCCCCAAGACCTACATCTGAGAAATGGAGCCTTAAACAAATAGGAGTCAAGACTATCTTTTTGGTAAAATCTGAGTGGGTTTGGAGTAAGTGCCACCTACACAATAATCCGTCCTCCCTCTCAACATAGAGGTAACAGGTCACAGGGTTAAAGGGGCCCGAATCACTGGCCAAGGTCTTCAGGCTCGCTTGCTTACCTTTTACCTGTGAACTATGTTAGAATAGAACCTATATCGGAGTGAGGGTTGTACAAGTCAGCGTTATTAAAGGGCTCAGAACAGTCCAGAGGGAGGCCAGTGAGTGCTGGCGGAGGTGACCTAGCACGGTTCTGCAAAAGTACACTTGGCAGAAAAATAGCCATCAACCATCAAAGCTGCAAAACATTGATGTTCGTCATTTTCAGAGATCCCAAAAAGGTCTACTGTAGGGAAATAAGACAAAGCTGAGCTGTCAGACGCCTTTATCTTACGGGAGGCTGAAGCATTCTCCCAGGCACGGCCAACTCTCTGCCCAGCTTCTCTGTTTAAGCATGAGAAGAGTTTGGGCTGCTGGGACCTGCTGGGGCAGAATTTGCTGAGCCTCACGCAACTACTTTGATTTCTGCAAAATAGCAGAGAGGTTGGTTTAAAATTTTTGAAAACAAATTTAGAATCTGTTTAAAAAACGATTGTAAACTAAGTATTTTTAGTAGCTGCATCTGATACTATTTTGCATATACTTAGAGAAAATGATACACAGTTGTGTATTCTGAAATTTGGCTGTTGCACTACCTTGGGATGGCTGTGATGTTTTAAATGAGACCCTGCTGTGGCAGGCCTTTCATGTGGGTGCTGAGCATCTAGCTCAGGCCCTCACATTTGAGTGGCCGTCATGTTACCAACCCGCATTACCTTTTTAGTCCCTTGAAGCCATATTTTAAAAGACTGCTTACTGAATAGGTTTGTTTGTTTGTTTTTTTTTTCCTGTGAATTTTGAAAGACTTCCTTGCTACCCGAAAACACCTGATAGCTGAGAGGACAACCAAGTGAGACAGGAAGAACCATGCCACACATTTTAGCAGAGGCAAAAGGGCAGGGAAAATGCTTCTACTCTCTAAAGCCTCGCAGGTCTACTCATCGCCATTACTCTTCACGTGTGCTAATAGGCCTGGGAGCATTTCTGTGCACCAGGAAGTGCTGGCTCTCAAGTGCTAGCTTTCTAGCCCTGACGAGGGCGGTCACAGCCGAGCAGCCTGGAAAGCTGGTTTGAGTGGCACGTTGCTGTGTGGTGGCCGGGGGAGGCGTACTGTATCAGGGTTTTTCGGTGGCTCTTGAGGCAGGTGGCCAGCTCCTCCATCATTTCCCAGCAGCTGCCTATGTCAGGGGTGCCTCCATCTGGGATGGGGTGGTGGTGGGTGACAATGCCAGATTGTTGGTAGAGGTCCAGAAGGTTTGGGACTCTGTATTTTGACAGCTCCCCTCTTGTGCAGAAAACAAACACGTCTTGGATCCCGTAGCTCTGTAGTTCCTCTGCCAACAGACCAAGACACACAGATGCACACAGAAAACAGGACATGCTTAAATACGGTCAGGAGAGAGAATATGGAATTATGTTCTTCAGCCAAACTAGTAACAAGTGAGAGCTTGGAGATAGGAAATATCTAATGAAAAGACCCCAACAAAAGCTGATTAGACTTAAACCAGACTGATTTATAAGTAAAATGCTTTTGAATGAATTTCATGATTGGCTGATAGCATTGATACTCTTGTACAAAAACTTGTTTGGTTTTTTTTTTTTCCTTTGCAATAAACACTGCCATTAATAACTAGCTTTTAAACTCTTGAGAAGTGAGCCAGGCATGGTGGTACATGCTTTTAATACCAGCATTTGGGGAGGCAGAGGCAGGCAGGTCTCTGCAAGTTCGAGGCCAGCCTGGTCTACAGAGCAAGTCCAGGACAGTCACAGCTACACAGAGAAACCCTGTCTCAAAAAACCAAAACCAACCAACCAACCAACTTGAGAAGGAATGATAGCACTATTTTAAGTGCCCCATGCTGTGGCCAGCCAGGTGCTCTCTCTGCCCTTTGTCTTCGGTCATCATCAACTACCTCCAGCTTAAGTGGCTGTGCTCTTCTCACTTCTGCACCACAGTACACTAACGTGGGTTTATGGACTAGGTCTTCAGAAAACAGGGCCCTAACCTTACATAGTGTAGCTCTTTTCACTTTAATAGTAGGAATCAAGAAATGTTTCTATAGAATTTTACACTGGAACTCAAAGATTTTCTTGTGTATGTGTGTGTGTGTGTGTCAGGGTTGGGGTATGTGCTTATGTGTGCAGGTGCCTATGGAAGCCAGAGGAGGGCGCTGGAGCTCTGGGAGCTGGGGTTATGGCTGGTTATAAGCCACCCCATGTGGGCTCTAGGAACTGAGTGCTGTTCCATCCCTCTGCAAGAGCAGCACCCACTTTTAACCACTGAGCCTTCTCTAGCTTCTGGGCATTCTTTATGGCACTATTCATTCTGGATTATTATTACTTTAAAATAAATAATGCTGAGCCCCAACCTGTGGACATCTATCTACAAATCTACAAAGCCTTTGTTTGCAGTTGAAGTATATATATAATATATATATAATATATATATATATTATATATATACCTTGTTTCAAAGACAAAGAGTAAAGACAGAAATGGTCTTATTAATAATTTGCATGATTGTATATTTCCTCGTGTGGAGATATACATATATATATGATTTTCCTATTATATGTAATATATAATGTAATATAGATAGTTTGTAACAGGAAAGTAGAACAAAGGTTATGTGGGGAAGAAAAGGATCTAAGGAGAGAAGGGGAAATGAGGGGAATGTAGAGGGAAGAAAATTACTGCATGAATTGTCTCATGTGCAGCCTACATTTTAAGTGTACATATATTTAGTCAGACATGAAATCAGAGAGGGGGATGGCCTAAGGGGGAAGGTAGGATGGTGAAGTGAGCGTGAACAAATACAGTAATATAGAACATTACAATAAATCCCATTTTATACATTAAAACATAGGTTAAAATGATTTGTTTCTACTTAAAGGCCAATTATGTTGGGTTAAATAAAATATATTATGAAAATTGATTTTGCATGTTTTAACTATTTTTAAAGAAGATTAAATTTATTGGGACCAATAAGGATTTGAAAATAATATTTTACAGTAATGAATTCTATGTGTATATATATGTATGTATATATGTATACATGTATATATATGTGTGTATATATATATATATCAAGCAGTAAAGATTTATTAACAATATAGATTAACAATATATATTTGGCTCTAATACATAACTATAAATTATGTATGTACATTAAAATTTGAAAGTATGCTATGGTACATTCAAGTTTTGTCTTGCTATGTCTTTTAAAAAATTAATTTAATGTATTTATTACAATTTATTCACTTTTTATGCCCGCTGTAGCCCCTTCCCTTGTATCTTCCTATTCCTACCCTCCCTCCCTCTTCTCCCCCTGTGCCCTTTCCCTAGGCCCCTGATAGGGGAGGGCCTCCTCCCCTTCCATCTGGCCCTAGCCTATAAGGCCCATCAGGACTGGCTGCATCATCTTCCTCTGTGGCCTGGCAAGGCTGCACCCCCCCTCCAGGGGGAGGTGATCAGAGAGCTGGCCAATCAGTTCATGTCAGAGACAGTCCCTGTTCCCGTTACTATGGAACCCACTTGGACACTGAGCTGCCATGGGCTACATCTGTGCAGGGGTTCTAGGTTATCTCCATGCATGGTACTTGGTTGGAGTATCAGTCTCTGCAGGTCCCTCTGGCCCTCTGTTCTCCTTGTGGAATTCCTGTCCCCTCCAGCTCCATCTCCCCCTTCTTCCAAAAGGTTTCTGACATGTTGTAACTTTTATAATGTGGCAGCTAGGAAGCATAATATGGACAAAGCTTCCATTTGTGGCTGTGATTACATTTTGTTAGACAGTAGTTGCTTCTGTTCTTAGGGCCAGGGTCTTGCTGTGTAACCCAAGGGGCCCTGAAACTTGGCACCTTCTTGCCTCAGTTTCCTAGGTGCTGGGATTATGGACATGTGCATCATGCCCCATTTAGTTAGGTCTTGAGTATTTTTATAATTGTAGGAGAATTTCAGAAAAGGGAGAAATTTTCTATTTATCTTTCATAAATAGATGTAGACACTGGACAGATTCAATTATGGTGGTTTTCGGGTTTTCCCAATGAGGACACACCACGTCTTATATGACAGATTCCATGTATGACTTCATTGTTTAAAAAAAAAAAGATTAATGGAAATACTAGAATTATAATGGATTATAAAATCCATTAAGTGAATAGGAAATTCCAAAATGTGTAATATTAATTTTGAGCCAAAGATTTAAATAGTATTTGCTTATAACCTACATGTCCTTCAAATGGAACATGTAAGTTATTTCCTGCCATCGTATGTATACCTAAAACAACATGTTTATAAATACTACAAGGGTCAATTCAAGTTTTAGTCTCTTTTCATCCTTTTTGTTTTTGAGACATGGTCTCACTATGTCGACCAGGTTGGCCTTGACCAAACAGAGATCTACCTGCCTCTGTGCTGATATTAAAGGCATATAACCCCTTGCCTGAATTTCTTCTCATCTTTTTGATAGATAAGAAGTACATTAATCAACTGATACTCCAGAACAAGTAGGACAGAGTGTGACTTTAAAAACTCCATAATGGTCAGCATCAAGCTGTGCAGACACTTATTTTCCGTATAGGGGTCTTGTTGTTCAAGTAGGTTACAGTATTCTATAAACACTACGGTATTTGGCAATTGTTATATAGCACGCACGTAGAATGTGGGGATGAGGGCTAGTGGTGCCTCCGTGAGCATCCTGGAGCAAAGAAAATGGTTCATGATGCCTGGGCCACGCTGGCTTTCTACATCTTGATCGAGGTGGGTCCTTGGGCTCCCGGCTCGGCATAATTTCTACTACACAGTCTGTAAGGAACTGTGTTCAATTCATAGGCACTGCAGTACGCAGGTGTTCCATTTACACACGTTCCTCCCTTGAGCAGACACATTCTAACATCACACAAGTTTACATGTGTAACTAGGATTGTGAAAAACAAAGTTCTGTTCAGATAAACGGTAGTCCCTCAGGCCCATCCCAGTTACCTTTTCACAGTTAGAAATGTCATAACAGTTTAACTTATATATTGAGAAGAGAATATAGTTTGACACATTTTTAGGCTTAAAACAAAAACAAAAGAAAACTACTAGTAGGTTTTTTTCACAGTGATCCTACCTGTATCTTTTTTAATATTTCTTCTAACATCTTTAAATTTACAACCTACAGAGAAGGCAAGTGAAAAAAAAGGAATCAATTTAGCGTTGTATTACAAGAAAGATTATTTAAACATATACAAGCTACTGTAGAAAGTCATTTCATATGGCTATTCAGTTCCATTTTAAATGTACATATTAATTTCTTACACTTTTAGAAACATAGCTGTAGACATTGGTAAATTCCACTGAAGGGGTCCTGATGCAGGAGCTCCTGGGCATGATTTAAGCTCTCTTGTACCTGGCTTTAAGGCCTACTGAATTAGGGAAGTCGGAAACGTGGCCCTGGATGCAAAGGCTGTTCTTGAGAGCTGCTGCAGAACAAGCTTATCGGCCTATGAGAAGTATTGCGGAATGCACGAAGCTACCTGTCAGCTTGGCAGAATCTGCCCTAATGTTAACGGGAAGCCAGCGGAGTGTTCTTGCCTACCTGGAAGAGCACACAAACCGAGAAACTGAGGACAATCCACTCGGGACAAAGGTAGCCTGTGAAGAAAAATGTATCAAGCTTAGTTTTTTTGTTTGTTTTTTCCCAACAGGGTTTCTCTCTGTAGCCTTGTCTGTTGTGCACTCACTTTGTAGACCAGGCTGGTCTCAAACTCAGAGAGATCCGCCTGCCTCTGCGTCCCTGAGTGCTGGGATTACAGGTGTGTGCCACCATGCCCAGCCTCAAGCTTAGTTTTAAAAAGTTACAAATAGAAATCTAGCCGAGCCAACGAGAGTGCCTGCCACAGAGTAAGGGAGAGTGCTTGAACATTTTATGGCATCACAGAACACCAGTTAAACGTGGGGACAGGAAAGGCCCAGAATGACTGGAAGCTTGAAAAGGGGGACTTCCTTAATAGAATGCAATTTAAATCTTAAAAGAGCAAGTTAATTTAAGCTTACCACACAGGTGATGACTTGATGACTCCTAGATCTCCTACAGGTAGAGTCAGTGACCCTGTGGTGTGGTCCCAAATGCTTGGGACCAGATGGTTTTAAGTTCAGAGTTTCTTGATTCTAGAATGATTGCATAGACTTGACCAACTGAATATCAGAATATCTAAAATTCAAAAGGCTCAAAAAAAAAATCTTTTCAAGTACCTGTGTGATTCTCAAAAATGTTTTGAATTTGGGCTATTTCAGATTTCAAAAACAGGTATTCAGTCAGTAGTAACCTTAGTTGAACGAACTGGAAAATTCTACTTTAGTTTTGCATTATTAAGCTTTTTTTTTTTTTTTTTTTGGTAAAATAGCCTTATATGAAGAAAACTGAATACCATTGTATATAATTCTGGTTGAAATGGAAAACGCTTCTAAAACTCAAAGAGTCCTAGCCTAAAATACCCAGGGACAGAGAGGCTCCCTGTCAGCAGAGTTTGAGGAAAGCCAGAGACATCAAAGAATAACAGCTGGGATAGAAACTTAGATTTAGTTTTAAGTTTTAAAAGGAGCTGATAGGGGAATAAAAGGTAATGTTTATTTGATGACAGAATAAAAGACCTTTAGAGACAATACTTAGTTCGCACTATTCCTGCAGAGGGGAAGGGCATCTCCTTGAGAGATCAGAACTTTTATTTTCAGTGCTGGGGCTTGAACACAGGGCCTGGATCATGAACAGCCCTGTGCTCTACCCCTGAGTCATACCCCAGTGAAACTCCTGGTTTAATGGGGATGACAGAAACCATCTGGTCACTGGCTGTAGAGACCCTGGCACAACTATAAGTCGTGCTTGGGAACTGATTAATGAAACACTCTCTTTGATTGCAAGGATCGACACTGGCCCGCCTGACTAAGAACTGCCTGAGGGCTGGTGAGGCCCAACTGAACTGGAGGTCCTAACCTACAGGAGGGCATACTCCTTTGCTATTCAAAATCTAAATGGACCACTGGAAGGCGGGTGGGGGAGGATTGGCTGCCTGGAAAGCCTGTCACTGGGGGCATGTCCTTCCCTGCCTCCTTCACATGTCTGTTCTACTGCTTCCTCGGCCCTGCCACACACCTTCCCCCTGCTACAATGGATGGACGTGTCCTCTTAAACTGTGCACGGTGAGTAGAGAAGCAGTTATAGTGGAATGGCTTTGATCTCACATGGGCTGTTGCTCACCATGACAGTAGCTCTGTGTATGAAGTAGTATTTAACGATGATTAACTGTTAAACACCAGCTGCATGGTGGCAGCACACACCTTTAATCCCATTGCTCTTTGGGAGCCAGAGGCAGACGGATCTCTGAGTTCAAGGCCAGCCTGGTCTACAAAGTGAGTTCCAGGACAGCCAAGGCTACACAGAGAAATCCTGACTTTAAAAAACAAAACAAAAATATTAAACACCCCATTTTTTTGTATTACTGTTTCTCTCATTCTAAAAGAATACATAAATCTTGGTAAGAGCTCATTTCAGAAGTCTTCTACTTCTCTGCTGCTACAAAGACTGTTTTCAATGTCTAAAGAAGGATTAAAATGGGGAAGTGTGAGCCGAGCACGGGATGCACTCCTATATTGCCAGCACTCTGGGAGGCAGAGGCAGGCAGATCTCTGAGTTAGGCCAGCCTGGACTACAAAGTGAGTTCAGGATAGCCAAGGCTACACAGAGAAACCCTGTCTCGAACACATAAAAAACAAAAATTCTGATTCTGGTCCGGGTGGCGTACGCCTGTAATCCCAGTACTCGGGAGGCAAGGCAGAGGTAGATGGATTTCTATGTGTCTGAGGCCAGCCTGGTCTACGACGGAAGTCCAGGACAGCCAGGGGGTATACAGACAAATCATGTCTCAAAAAACCAGAACAAAAAACAAAGAAAAGGAAAGTGTGGTTTCAGTTCAGATAGTATATAAATCATAGAATAAGGAAATATCCTAAAGATTAAAACTCTATAATTGGTACAGAGTATACTTGATCTTTTCAGTTACATGCATTACCTTGCCCAAATATGATGTAACATCAAATATTGTAGCTCACCACTGATGCTAACATACCATGAAATTTGAATTGGAGTCTGCTCATCTTCAATAGGCTCTTCGTCTGAAGAATCAAACTCACTTGCTTGTATTGAAATGGGCTTCAAAAGAAATGTTATATTAAGTTATTGCAAGGAATATTTACATGTAATTTCAGATAACTGATCCATGATTAAAAACCCACTGAATTAATATTTGCATTTTTTCAGTCATTAATCTGGACTATTGGAGAGTTCAGCAATATCAATAATAAATGATTCCTGTTGACTAGTTGGTTAATCACAGCACTGTACAGTGGGCAGAAATGGACATGGACCAAAAGAATGTGTGGACCAAAAGAATGTCTGGCTTCTGGAACTGGTCCTTGGATAATCTCAGATAAACTCAGGCATCTGAGTTTATTCTGGATCAGCTTTCTTCAACTCTCAAGTGCGATTTGCTCACTCCTCATTCTTGGACCTTCTACTTGCATGCTCTGAGACCTGAAGACCCTGTGACACACTGTCTCCCTCTAGAGACAGCAGTGTGCACAATTACAGAATGGCAACATGATAAAACCAGTACAGAAAACCATGTACTGTACAGCTGAGGCAGTGTCTAACCATTTAGAGAGCAGGAAAGGGTTTCAGAGAGCACCAGGCTGAGCTTTGAAGAAACTAAAGGGTTTCTAGGTAGACAGTGAGGTTAAAGCAATCCAATTAAAGATCTGAACCAGGTATGATGTTGCAAGCCATTGATTTCCTCACTGGAGAGACTGAGGCACAAGTTCTAGGACAGTATGATACATGGCCAGGCCGGCTCAAAAGAAAACAAGTGGGTATGTGGGTGGAGGGTTACGTATTCAGTGGAGATGATGCAGAAGAGACAAAGCCAGTGGAGACTGCTCGCCCCTTTCACATACAGTGGGACAAACGGGTAGACATACACGGGGCCAGTCCCCCACCCCCGTCTTTATGAAATGCTAGATTAGAAGAGTCCAGGGGGATTTATATGCCGATCTAAGCAGGTGTAACTCCATTCTGGTCACAGCACTTCTACATGGAAGGTAGAAAAAGAATACCCTTTCCCACTTCCCTAGTTGGAACCATCTGAGATCAGACATTTGAACAGCAAGTGTACATGAAACGTCAGTTTTATTGAATGTCAAGAAGATAAAGAATGCTGTGATTCCCATATCATTCCAGAATGGGACCAACCTACCTCTTCCCAGGCAGCAATGGACAACCGAGGACTACTGTGTGCCAGAGTAGCCCAGAAAGCAGGCAGACCTCAAGAGAGGCGGAAGGAGGGGTCTCTACTTGTGTAACAGAGAGATCAGAAAGCTTACTCCTCTCTGGGGACAGTGGAGTCAGAAGGCGGGAGTAAAGGACAGCTGAAGACTGGTAGACATGACTTGGAAGAGGAACCACCTCTCGAAAGGCTGCTTGCCTTTCAAGCTTTTCTGTGAAGGTCTTGGCTGAGGAGCGCATGGTAACTGACTTAGAGCTACAGGTTGGGGTTTCCTTGGATTGCTCTTTGATATAAAACTCAACGGTACCCCAGTGAAGCCTTTAAGGAGGGCGTCAGCTGTGAGGTGGAACTGTCGGTCGGGGGATTTCAGGCCCCCCCCCCCCCACACACACACACTATAAAACAAGATTTTAAGCCTGTGTGTTCCGTTCACTCTATCCCTTCCAGCCAGGTCTACATCTGAACAGGCTAGGCCCTGCTTCCCCAGGCCTGGGGATTCCGACCTGGAGGGAACGGGCGGCAGTGCCAAGAGGGCCCCGACAGGGCGGCCGTGGTGATGTCACCCACAAACAGCCTTCGCATCTGAAACATCGAGCCACCCGGAAACCAAGTCGTGGCCGCCTTTGCATCCGAGGCGTTAAGCCGAACGGTTCGGCAGCCAGCGACCCCGCGGCGCGCCTGCCCCGCACTCCGCCTGCGGACGCGCAGGGCGGTTACGGCGCGGGCCGCACCGCGGCCCGCCCGGCCACGCAGCCGAGGCCGCCAGCGCAGTCCCTGCGGCGGGCCCCGCCGGCCCCACTCACCGGCTTCATGGCGAGCCGCGGCACCGCGTAACCAGCGCGGTCGTCCCCGCGGCGTCGGCGGCGCAGGCGGGCCCGCCCCCGGCAGCCCATTGGCCCGCCGGCGCGGGGGCGGGGCGGCGCCCTCTGGCAGCCAATCACGTCCTCGCCCTGCGTCCGACGGCGCGGCCCGGCTCCGCCTTCGGCCGCTCGTTGGTTCCGACGGAGCCTTCGAAAGACGCGCGGAAGGAGGGCCCGCAAGAGAGCTGATTGGCTGCGGGGATCCGCCGGCGCCAGTTGGGGCGTGGGCGTGCGAGGGCCGGGGCGAAGTGGTCCTACGCCCAAGGGTTTGCAGAGCCGCTCCGGAGAGTGTTCTCTGAGGACGGGGAGGTTTGTCGGCTTTCTCCAAGGTTTCAGTTATCTCAGCCCCGAGGGCGTGGTGGCTGGCGGCGGGAGCCTTGCACCGAAGCCAGTCTTGTGGAAACACATCAGGAAGACATGTCTGTCAGGTCCTACGGAGACCACTAACCAGAGTCCAAGCATGTTCTTTACCGCCCCAGAGCGTGCACAAGGTAGTGTGTGGATCAGTCTTCCTGTCCACCACACAGGAATGCACAGTGTACGAAAGGGAGATAAGTGAAACCCGTGGGTCTCCCTTGGCAGGCTTCTGCGCATCAGCGCGAATCTAAAACTGTGCCCCCGGCCTCCGGCTCTGAAGTCAGGAGCAATTGTAAGCGCCCCCCGTGGGTGCTGAGAACCGAACGAGGGTCCTCTCCGAGAGCAGAACGTGATGTCATGTGATGTTTTGCTGCAAGCTGGGCACATGATGTTTTGCTGTGACCCCTTCCATGCAAGGGGCCAGCTGAGAACATCCGTGGGTGGACTCTGAGAAGAGGACACACACGGAGGCCCACGCAGAGTGAAACGTCGCTTTTCGGGTTGACCTCTGTGCCGATCTTTTCGAAGAAACGCTCCACGGAGCTTCTCCGGGCAATCCAGCTGAGTCTTTTGGCTCTCGCTGCTTCCTGTTGGCCTTCGGACTGGACTGCTGGTATCCTGACGGCTGAGTCTGGTATTGGAAGGGGGTAAAGGTGGCTGAATCACCAGAAATAAAGTAGGTTTGGTGAAAAATCTAAGCCAACAGAAGTCCCCTAGAGCAACAGTATCTCGGGATTCGAGAAAAGCAGAAGTTTGCTTTGTGACCCCTGTGTCACAGACAGCGGGCATGGGGCTAATGGGTGGAGAAAGAAGACGGCAGGACTTGACCTACAAGTCACATTAGTCAGGGTCCTCCAAAGAAACGGGGGGGGGGGGGGGGAGAGTGTGTGTGTGCGCGTGTGTGTATGTATGTGCGCGCGTGTGCGTGTGTAAAGAAATGGTCTCCTTTGACTTTGGAATGCTGGTGAGTTCAAAATCCAGTGAGAGGCTAGTGACTATAGTCTCAAAAGATTGTAGTTCAAGTTCACAGGCAGACTGTTGTGGAACCAGGAGTCTGTGCCGTAGATGAACTGTGAAAACCATAAGCCAAAGAATCCTCTTTGTGCAGAGTAAGTCTACCTTTTGTTGTATTCAGCTTTCAGCTGAGTACTGTGGAAGTCAATCTGCTTTGCCCAAACTCCATCAACTTAAATGTAAATTACATCCTCAAATATCCACAATAGTGTTTTTCCCAGTATCTGAGCCAGGCTGATGCATGTCTTAGTTAGTTTCTGTTGCTGTGATGAAACACTATGACCGAAAAGGAACAAAATTAACATAGAGACCCACTGGGATTTTCTATAGTCAGGGAACACTTTTTGATTTGTGCTGTCTGTATGGATTGCTTATCGCAAATCAAAGATTAAGACAGAGCAACAAAGCAGTAAGTGCTACTTTACAGATGTTCTCTTTTAATGTAAGTCTGCTTCCTTAGGTAATGTTGTCATAGACCTAAAGAACCAGTTACCACCCACTACAAATTCACTACTGGTTGTAGTGAAAGTAACTAGCCAGGACACTGGAACTGAGAAGTGGGGCGCTGTTCTGGGAAGTCCTAGACACTTGGGTGAGGGTGTGTATGAAATTGTCTTTTTTTGTTTGTTGCTCTCCAATGTCGGTGAGTTCAAACTCTCATTTGAGGTGCAGGTCCCTAGAGGTGGGCGTTGGCTCACACAGTGTTCCTCTCAGTGGCCTCCCTGCATCCTCTCCACCATGCTGTGAATTGTTCTGCTCGGCTAGGCCCACTCACATGACACGGTGAAATGTCTGAAACAGTGAGCCGGAAGAAACTCTCCCTTCAGTTGCCTCCGTCCGGCATTTTGTTCACTGTGAAGCAAAAGTAGCTGGTACAATACACCTGTGTAAGCTTTAGGAAATGAGTCCTGAGTTTCTTCCCTTCTTCAAGGTTTATTTCCTTTTCTCACACGTGCGCACAGGTCGGGGTTGATTTGGAGCTTCCATGTATTTAAGTGTTAATTGCTTGGTCCCCCTTACTTTCCTATGAGCAAATTCTCATGTATCCAAAAATGGTGTAAACCTTGGCTCCCAAGTTATCGGTGATTGGCTAACAAAGTTGCCTACAGCCTGGGCTGGGCAGAAGAGAGGGAGGTGGAGCGAAGGTTCCCAGGCTTTGGGGCCGGCAGAACCGTGAGGAGGGGAGAAGAAAGGAGCAGGTCACTGTGGGGAAGATAAGTACGTGTGGCTAAGAGCAGCTCGCTCTGAGGACTGGCCTTGATGGAGCAGAAGCAGCCCAACTAGAGTATGTGCAAGTATTTATGGGGATTTGGGATGGGAAGCAGCAAGGCAGGAAAGATTAAGTCAAGTGGCATGGGATGAATGTTGAGCTTAGGGGGTTGATATCTGCCCAGTCCTAGTGTTTTAAGGCTTGTTATAAACCTAATAGGTTTCTGTGTCTTTTGTTTATAAGATAGCAGGTTGAGGAATAACTGCTGCTGTATTAATGACTAATATTAATTAATATTATTAGAATACCTAATCCCACCAACCTTTTATATATGAATGCTTGCATGCTTGTACGTGCACCATGTACATACATACATGCCGTGTGTCCATGAAGGCCAGAATTCCACTGGAACTGGAGTTACAGGCAGCTGTGAGTTGTCTCTAACGGGCACTGGGAACTAAACACAAGTCTGTCAGAGCAGCCAGCTCTCTGTGCCATCAGCTTGTTTCTGTGCCAGTCCCAACCTGAGCTGGAGCTTTGGAATAATCCTGTGTTCTCCTTTGGCGAAGGTAAGGTACTAGGTGTTTGTCTGGTGATCTGCTAGATGGCACGAGGGAGCTGAAAAAGCTCAACCCTCTATGTTTGCTGCCTGTGGATAAATGAAGACCTGGGGCCTAAGCTCTCCTTCAGGACCTTCCTGTCACAATGGACTGTATTTTCAAATTGTGAAGCAAAATAAACCCTTTCTCCTTTAAGTAGGTTTCGTCAGGATATTTTATCACTGGCAATAGTCTTTATCTCACTTTCTGTAGAGTTCTTGTCCCCTGAAACCTTGTAAGACAGGCCTCTACTATCTACATTTTTCTTAGGATTCTAACCTCCTGCATTTCTGTCAGAATGACTCTTTAAGCTATAGTTACAGCACTGTAAGAATTTTCTAGTCTGCAGCTGCAAACTCTTCCACAAGTCATTCTGCCCACAAGTCATTTCCAAACGCCAAAGAACCCCTCGGCCAGGTTTATCACAGCAGCAGTCCCACTTCTCAGTTCCGATTTCCTGGCTAGTTACTTTCCTCGTTATTATGAACAGATCTACCTGACAAGAAATGACTTAAGGGCGGAAGAGTTTCTTCTACGTTTCCATAGTCCAACATGGCAGGAAAGAAGTGAAGTGGGTAAGGAGGGCGAAAAGAGCAGGAGTCCAGCTACTATCCCACAAAGCCCCTGTGCAGGAGGCTTGGTTCCCTAGCCTGTGTCCCTCCTGGGAGGTAGTGAACCCTAGTGGGGGGACATTAGGCCACTTGAGCTAGCTGGGTGTTGTGACTTTGGCTCCTCCTTCTCTCTTCTCTTTGCTTCCTGGCTGCAACAGGAGGAGCTGTTTATTTTTCTGTGCATCTGTGCACTGCCACCGTGATGGATTGCTCAAGTACCTCTCTCTCACCACTGCCCCGACCTCCCCAAAAACAAGGATTAAGTGACGGTGGAACCTCTGAAACAGTAAGCCAAAATGATGCTTCTTTCAGGTTGGATATTACAGTTTTTTTTTTTTTTTTTTTTTTTTTTTTTTTTTTTTTTTTTTTTTTTCAGTAACAGAAAGCTGATCAACACAGCAGGCAAAGCCCAAGGTTCACAACCATAAATTTTTATAGAAAAGTTTGCCTGTGCCTACACTAGTCTAGAAAAGAAATGTGCCATCTTCATATAATGCCACTTTGGGTCTCCATCCTAAAGAACGGTTACCTTGGACTAACTGGGCTAAAATATTCTGTCTTGCTGCTTGTTTCATTATGGAAGGTCCCACGTAAAGAGATGAGGCCTCTGACTGAGCCTCCTGGTGTCTTTCTGATCCTCGAGGACTTCCCTAGGGAGAAGCTAGCGCCTGTTCAGAGCTCAGGGTTTCCAGTGTGCGGCTCACGGCTGTTGTCACAAGTTTGTGTAACCAAAACAATCGGACAGTCTTTAAAACCCCAGGGCAGAAAGGTGTTTTCACATCTTCCTAGCCTGGTGAGCAGTTTGAGAAAGGCTTAAAGACAAATTAAACTGTAGGGTTCTCAGGACTTAGGCTTGGAGATGTTTTACATTTCGGTCTATATGCTAGTATTAATACTAGTGGATTTGGCACGTGAGAGAACACTGGAATGCAGAGGAGAAAACATAGTTTCTTATGATTGGCAGGCTGGGCTTAGGACTTTTTCCCCGTGATGGCCATCAAATGCAACAAGTGAAGACTGCTGTAGACGTCTGTTGTTTGCCCATTGCTTTACCTGTGGTAACTTGGCTCACTCCCATGTTATTATCTGATACACGATGATGATAACAGACCAACCCATAGATGCACCCTCTTCCTCTTGCCCCAGTCTTTGATCCAGGGAAGACACGTGGCTCAAATAGCAATGTGCTTCCTGTGTGTGTGTAT